AACAAATCAAAATATATGTTATATTTCAGATTCTTCAAATAGCCACCCTTTGCCTTGATGACAGCTTTGCACGCTCTTGGCAAGTGAAGTGAAGGAAGCTGAGCACTTGTTGGCTGCTTTGAAGGAAAAGCAGCCAACAAGTGCTCAGCATATGTGGGAACTCCTCCAACAGTCTTGAAGGAGTTCCCACATATGCTGAGCACTTGTTGGCTGCTTTTCCTTCACTCTGCCGTCCGACTCATCCCAAACCATCTCAATTGGGTTGAGGTCAGGGGATTGTGGATGCCAGGTCATCTGATGCAGCACAAATGATAGTCCTACTAAGCACAAACCAGATGGGATGGCATATCGCTGCAGAATGCTGTGGTAGTAATACTTCCTTGAATTCTAAATAAATCACAGACAGTGTCACCAGCAGAGCACCCCCACACCATAACACCTCCTCCTCCATGCTTTACGGTGGGAACTACACATGCGGAGATCATCCGTTCACCCACACCGTGTCTCACAACGACACGCCGGTTGGAACCAAAAATCTCCAAATTGGCTCCAGACCAAAGGACACATTTCCAGCGGTCTAATGTCCATTGCTCGTGTTTCTTGGCCCAAGCAGGTCTCTTCTTATTATTGGTGTCCTTTAGTAGTGGTTTCTTTGCAGCAATTCGACCATGAAGGCCTGATTCACAGTCCCCTCTGAACAGTTGATGTTGAGATGTGTCTGTGACTTGAACTCTGTGAGGCATTTATTTGGGCTGCAATTTCTGAGGCTGTTAACTCTAATGAACGTATCCTCTGCAGCTGAGGTAACTCTGGGTCTTCCATTCCTGTGGCGGTCCTCATGAGAGCCAGTTTCATCATAGTGCTTGATGGTTTTTGCGACTGCACTTAAAGAAACTTTCAAAGTTCTTGAAATGTTCTTTATTAACTGACCTTCATGTCTTAAAGTAGTGATGGACTATCGTTTCTCTTTGCTTATTTGAGCTGTTCTTGCCATAATATGGACTTGGTATTTTACCAAATAGGGCTATCTTCTGTATACCCCCCTTACCTTGTCACAACACAACTGATTGGCTGAAACACATTAAGAAGGAAAGAAATTCCACAAATTAACTTTTAAGAAGGCACACCTGTTAATTGAAATGCATTCCAGGGGACTACCTCATGAAGCTGGTTGAGAGAATGCCAAGAGTGTGCAAAGCTGTCATCAAGGCAAAGGGTGGCTATTTGAAGAATCTCAAATATAACATATATTTTGATTTGTTTAACACTTTTTTGGTTACAACATGATTCCATATGTGTTATTTTATAGTGTGATGTCTTCACTATTATTCTACAATGTAGAAAATAGTAAAAATAAAGAAAACCCCTTGAATGAGTAGGTGTGTCCAAACTTTTGACTGGTACTGTATATTTATATATATATATTAGTTTGTGTGAAATTTTCACAAGTCACGTGGTTTTCAGACATGTGTGAAATTTCACATGTACATTTTCCAAGTGTTTTCCCCTCATGAAAAAAAATCCCCACGTGACATTTTTTGTTCACACGTTTATTTTTCATATGTTTATTTTTCACCATTTCCAGCTACAGTGCCTTCAGAATCTTTTCATACCCCTTGACTTATTCCACATTTTGTTGTGTTACAGCCTAAATTCAAATACTCATTTCTCACCCATTATCACATTTCAGGAGAAGACCCAGATGCAGACAGTGTCGAAGTAATAAAAGTTTATTACAAAAACAGGGGGCAGGCAAATGACACGTCAAGGTCAGGCAGAGGTCAGTAATCCAGATCAGAGTCCAAAAGTTACAGAACGGCAGGCAGTCTCAGGGTCAGCTCAGGCAGAGGTCAATAATCCAGGTTGGTGTGACAAGGTACAGTACGGCAGGCAGGGTCAGGGCAGGCAGAATGGTCAAAACCGGGAAAACTAGAAAACTGGAACTTGAGAAAGCCAGGAGCAAGGGGAAAACCGCTGGTAGGCTTGACGAAACAAAACGAACTGGCAACAGACAAACAGAGAACACAGGTATAAATACACTGGGGATAATGGGGAAGATGGGTGACACCTGGAGGGGGGTGGAGACAATTACAAAGTACAGGTGAAACAGATTAGGGTGTGACAACCATCTACACACAATACCCCATGTTTTTAGAAATGTTTGCAAATGTACTGAAAATGAAATACAGAAGTATCTCATTTACATAAGTAATCACACCCCTGAGTCAATACATGTTATAATAACCTTTGGCAGCGATTACAGCTGTGAGTCTTTCTGGGTAATTCTCTAAGAGCTTTCCACACCTGGATTGTGCAACATGCCCATTATTCTTTTCAAAATTCTTCAAGCTCTATCAAATTGGTTGTTGATCATTGCTAGACAGCCATTTTCAAGTCTTGCCATAGATGTTCAAGCCGATTTAAGTAAAAACTGTAACTAGGCCACTCAGGAACATTCACTGTTGTTTTGGTAAGCAACTCCAGTGTATATTTAGCCTTGTGTTTTAGGTTATTGTCCTGCTGAAAGATACATTTGTCTCCCAGTGTCTGTTGGAAAGCAGATTGAACCAGGTTTTCCTGTAGGATTTTGCCTGTGCTTAGCTCTATTCCATTTATTTTTATCAACAAAAAAAACTCCCTAGTCCTTGCTGATGACAAGCATACCTATGATGTGACGCAGCCACCACCATGCTTGAAAATATGAAGAGTGGTACTCAGTGATGTGTTGTGTTGGATTTGCCCCACACATAACCCTTTGTATTCAGGACATGAAGTTAATTTCTTTGCCAGTTATGATTTTCATATAAGCATTGTAGGCTACTCAACTGTGCCCAGAAAACATGTAACTGCCCACAAACTGAACAGCCTAATTCTAGCTGGCTAGTAGATTGAGATGCTGTCCATTTAAGTAAGTAAGCCGGTGTTTGGAGGATATATTGGCACGGTTGTTGTTAGGCCCAAGATGAAGTCGAGGGCCGGCAAACTGAGCCAATATATCATCCAAACACCGGCTTCGAGGGCATTATCACTTTTATACAACGGGTTACCAACCTTTTCAATTAATGAAATGTTTTTCATTTTTCATACTATTTCATCCTTCCACAAGATATAGTCCCGACACAAATCTAGGGTTGCTACCCATGCCGGCTGGTCGTTCGTTCTATCGGTTCGGTTGCCAGAGACGCGACCCAGTCGTTCAGTCTTTTTGTTCTGTATCTATGGACACGACCCAGTCGTTCGTTCTAAATGTTCCATTGCCATACTGGCTGAAAACGTTCTTATCCCTTGCTTGCTAGCTAGCCAACTACGGCTAATTTACAGTCACGTCAAACAGTGCAGCCAGAATAACAACAGTAGCTGCATTTGCATTTGCTTAAGCCATTTTCCTAGTGACATTTATTTGGACACATCCATAACAATGAGCTAATGAGGCGTGATTTCGCCTGGCATAGAAAATGTGCTCTCTCGTCAGAACACTGTTGCTCAGAGGAGCTAGCCAACAACACAGCTAACACAATCACTTCAAACTGAAGCTGGAAAGACTGCAAAATAGCTGCACTTCGTTTCGTTTGACCTTTTTTCAATTTACATTTCTTTGTATATATCCATAAAGATGATGCCAGCTGATTCATGATTTAGACTGGCTGAGAAACGCTACCTGCCTGTCTGTCTGTCTCATCCCGACTCCCAACACGTTCATTACTATGGGACAGCTGGAGATCGAATTTGAATATTGAAACAATGTTGCAAATGTCGGAGAGACAGACAGCAAGGTTATTACAAATCTCTGCTGTTGAAAACGAAATGTTAGTCTAAAAGAAATGTGAGATAATGTCTAGATGCTTTTTATAGTGGAGATCAAGTTTAGAAATTGCCTGGCTGGGCTGATGAGACAGTGGATTGCGCAATCAGATGGAACAGAGTAAATAGGCATTTTAACGTCATAGATTTAGCCGGTGCTAACTTGTGGAATAGACACCAGCTGGAATGCGGTTTTAACCAATCAGTATTCAGGATTAGACTCACCCGTTGTATAATCACGCTATATACCCCACGGAGCTCCACTATGTTATTCATGTTTTTCATAATTATTTTAAAAAACCTGACAAAAATCCAGTGTTTCTATTTCAAACAGTTTTGTTATATTTCAGTCTTCTGTGATCTATATAAAGTGTAATATTGGGATGCAAACTCAAAATGTTATACATTTCAACTCTATATCTGACATGGTAAAGGTGTTTTTTTAACCCCATAACCATGTGTGAGGTGAATACGTTTGTTTCAAATTAGACTTGTTTAAGACTACCAAGAATCACTCTGTGTGACCCTGATTGAGCCCACTGCAGTAAAAGGTTAACCATGTTTTGCAAATGCAGCTACTGTTGTTATTCTGGCTGCACTGTTTGACGTGACCGGATGGGTCACCTTAATAATGCTACTGCAACATGTTAACGTCATCTTTTCACATGTGAGGAGAATAATATTACTTCAACCCCACATGTGAACCTGCAAATTAGATTTTCACATGAGAATGTTTTTCACATGTGAAACTACATATCCGATTTTCACATGTGAACGTTTTTAACAAATGTCACATGTGAACTGCAATTCACATGTGAGGTGAAACATGTTATTCTCCTCACATGTGAAAAGGTGGTGTCAACATGTGAACTCTAAATGTAATACATGTGAAAATATGGTTTAATGTGTCAAATTTAAGCTCAACATGAAAACAGCTACAGTACTTCACATGTGAATATGCGATTTTCACATGTGAAACTGCAAGTTTGACAAGGTTTCTTCATTTAAAGGGCTGTTTAGTCCAATCTGTGTCTGGGGAAGTGTCTCTTGAAGTAAAAGGTCTTCAAGAATGTATAGCTGAGTGATCTGAAGTGGTGTTGTGTTTCTACCATAGACTATATGGTTTCAACCATCTATAATTCTATATATTTTTCAATTTCTCCCTCTCAGATGAGCCCTGTGGAGATCTGAAAGCGGAGAGCAGCCCCAGCCTAAGCCCCAGCATGGACAATGAGATCACAGCCAAGGAGAGAGGACTACTGGAGAACAACGAAAAGGAGACAATGGACAGAGATCAGGAGGAGGAGGTAGAGAAGCTCTTATATTTGTTGGTGCTATCTTTTGTAGTCTTTATTCGTCTGGCATGTTTATGGAACTTTCTATGGGTCCTGACTTTGTATTCAGTTTTTTTTTTTTTAATCTGCTGCTGTTTGACATTACATTTTCAAACACATCGTTTCCATGTGCTTGATACCATTCCATTCACTCCATTCTAGCCATTATTATGAGCCGTCCTTCCCTCACCAGCCTCCTGTGCTATCTCTATATCTATCAATCTTTATCTAGGAGGAGGAGAAGGGGAGGAGGGAGCAGCAGGAGCCCCTGTCTGAGGAGCAGGAGCTGGAGGAGTTGAGGAGCCAGGTGCTGCAGCTCCTTCTGGAGTTAGAGGAGGCCAGGGAGATGTCCAACAAACACCAGGAGGCCTTCCACGAGCTACAGGGTAAGAGAGTAGTTGCGAAATGGCAAGCAAATTAGCTGTTAGCTGTGGTTCATTAGCAGTGCCATACTATAGGGCAGGCTTCTCCAACCCTGTTCCTGGAGAGCTACCCTCCTGTAGGTTTTCGCTCCAACCCCAGTTGTAACTAACCTGGTGCAGCTGATCAACCAGCTAATTATTAGAATCAGGTGTGCTCGATTAGGGTTGGAGTGAAAACCTACAGGATGGTAGCTCTCCAGGAACAGGGTTGGAGAGCCCTGCTATACGGTGTCCAATCAAAAACACATATTTTGACCAATGGGTAAATGTTTTTCCTCTAAGAAAACCAATGGTCCAAACCTCATGTTTCTATCATAATCCATTCAAAAGTTATTGGAGTTTTTACCCTTGTAGGATGGCCAAAATTAAGTCAATAGAGGCCAGATGCTCTGCGAGTTTTACTCTCCAGCTGAACTCTTCATCTTTCTTCTCGCAGGAGAAAAAAAAAAAAACATTATAGAGGTACGATAGATGACATGTAGTATTTTCATATTTTAGTATATGCTTTTCATATTAATGCGAAATTCATGTTCTAATTTAGAAGATTTCTCACAAAAACAAGTGCATCTCTGTAAAATGTAAACGGAGCACTGAGCGTACTGCAAGCTTTTTATTTTCAAAGCCTTTTACATTTAATTCAGCTCATGTCATGCTATTAAAAAATGTGCGACCCACGGAACCAACTTTGAAGATGACCACCACGACATGTAAAATCCACAAAAGTTCCTGTGAGAAACCTGCACCGTGCTGTCGACAGAGCTTATTATCGGATGTATTAGGTTACGAAATCGGACTTTTTGTATGTACTGTTAGAAAAAGACCCCACTGAACGATTCAGAACATAAACAATCATATTGGTCTTGGTAAAATGTATTTTATAACATAAGGAAGTGAAATGTCATCACCAAAGTGGTTTTTCACCCACTCTGGGCAAAGTAGGTGGACACCCTACATACTGCAGTCATATTACCTTCCCTGAGATTACAGGTGACAGACTAGTCTCTTGGTCTGTCCTCAGTTCTTTAGAAATTCTGTTTACAACTTTGTAAATGTTTATCTCAAACAGGATCAGTTCCTCATAGTCACGCTGAATAGAGAGCTGCATCATGTCTTAGTAATGATGAGCTAGATGTTATGTCTCATACACACTGACTAAGGCCTCAGTGCTGAGGACATAGTGAGCCAACTCAGCTCAGTGAGAACAGCTCATGCTGAGGACTTTTAGAGTGGTGAGCTCAGTATCAGTTGTTTGTCTGGCATGCAGCAGGCATTTCACAGACAGACAGCTGCATGCTCACAGCATGCTCAGACACACAGACACATACACTGACATACACACACACACACATTCAGCACGCTCAGGGACAGGCTCCATGGAAGCGTCCAGGTTGGGTTGGACCGCACTATGATGTCATCACTCCTCATACGCTGGGGACGGAACGGGATGTCTGGGACACTCCCACTGGGCACGAGCCCTCGGGCATGCTCAGCTGTTCTTCAGGCCCACTGCTGACTCACATGCACACACGCACACACACCGCCACATCCCACCCACTACAGCTGTCTCCCGTCAGGGAGGCGCCTCTAGGTATCCATGGTGAATATTCAACCAAGGCTGAGGTGTGGAGAAGAAAGGTGCTAACTTAGGTCCTCACATAGAATGTCACAGTAGAGTGATTTAGAGGTCTTCACGGATCCACCTCTATCCAAATATACCCGAGACCCCATCCGGGACCCGAGCAGGTCTGGATCCAGAATTCTAATGCCACGGGTCTAGAGGCGGTGAGAAGAGTGGAAGGAACGAGTGGCGGGGACGAAACAATGGTAGTAGAGCCATCACGGCCAGTCAAGGTTTCTCATCAACCGAGGGATTGTGAAATGTTACATGTTAAAAGGTGGACTTTGGATTATTTCTTGTAATGGTCATAAACTGTACAGCACAAGCGGAGAAGAAGTTGGAGAAAATTGGAATCATTGTGAATGCAGCTGAACGTTTCTTGGGTCTTCGTGATTTCACAGCCGAGGCCTTGCAAGAAATCATGTCGGTGAATGTTCCGCCTTCCAAGGCCCCTTAGCCTGTGTAGGGATGTATTTTGGAATGGACTGTGATTGAATAAGTGGAATGTTTTTTTTCTAGTTCAATACCCCGTCCAGCTGGTGGCGGTAATGCACCATTAATATTGGATGCCAACCACCATTAATATTGGATGCCAACCACCATTAATATTGGATGCCAACCACCATTAATACTGAATGCCAACCACCCTTAATACTGGATGCCAACCCCCATTAATACTGGATGCCAACCACCATTAATACTGGATGCCAACCACCATCAATACTGGATGCCAACCAGCATTAAACCCCATCGAAGAAGAAGATGAAGAGGAACAGATTTAGCTAGCTAGTTTCCAGACTGAAATAAGAGAAATATCTGGATAAATCTTTGGACAAATCTTTTTGCCAGAGCTGGCGCTACAGACGGATATATTTGGTTGAGTAATACAGGACTATTAAAGGCCCAGTGCACTACTTTTGTAAAAAAATATATATATTTCAAAAAACTACTTTTTTTTATTTGATTTTTTGATTTTTCAGGGGGTGCTGCAGCACCCTCAGGACCCCTACTTCCCGCGGCTATGTGTAGAACTATCATCAACACATGCTTCTATATTCCCCCTTCTCGCTAGGAGCATTTATGTGCCCAGGCCCCATAGGTATGTCGAAGGGTCCACCCAGGTCACCAATTTAGCTGACCAATGTAGAGAGAGACAAGTGCCTTAGCAGAATGCAATATAAAGCTAGTGTGGTCCAGAGGAGAACTCTACCATTTATGGCAAAAGCCTGGGCTCCGGGCGGGGACAATAGAATTCTCCACACTGCATATTACAATAGTAAAATAATGCTTACACTCTACATTGAATTTAGTCTTTGAGATGCTCAAACAAGCACGTATATCTGTAGTTGGTGTTCTTCAACTCTAAAATGCACTAGACTGTGTAGGACAAAACCAACAAAGACAGGCAAATGCATATGTGGTCCCAATGTCTAAATAGTGACTGCAGGGCTAGTTTAAACTGCAGTAGGATGGTGAGTGAATCACAGGTGAGTGAATCAGTCCATGCTTGGTGAATAGCACTTGGTTGATCTCTGGGAGCAGGACACAGGAGAGCTAAATAGATCATGTGAGACAAAAGTGAGAGACAAGAATGTATAAAATAAATCATCACAGCAAAGGAATGTAGTTTGTGAGCTAGAAAATGAACACCTGACAGTCTGAGGCAGGGTGCCATGCAATCATCCTACTCCAACTATAGACAGGGATAATGTGGCATTCATTATTTGTCAGTATGAATGAAATTAGTGCGTCCTTCCTTGATCACTGTACTAGATTTGCACTACTTGTCCTATAGATTTTTGTAGTCTTAAATTATTACTTGGAATAAACTGATAGCTAAAACACTCCTTGTCCCGGAATGACATACTAGCTAGTGATGAAGCTATCTGCTCCTGGTAGCTAGCAACAGATCTACTAGCAAGCTAACTAACAAGCTAGCTCCATTACTAAGGTTCCTGTGTTCTAAGTTGGGAGTCATTTTACAGCTTGCATTGATGGTATCGCGTTTCTATAACTAAATAGTTAGATTAAATAGTTAAAAATATTACCTGATGATAGCAATTTGTCGGACGGAGATCTCTCTTGTTATCATCAGCTGTCTACTACCTTAGATACGAATAACGTGATCAGCAGAGATACAGTACTACAATGGATAGCACACATGTTTTGATTGGTTTACAGTTTAGTGCTCGGCGGCATTTGCCTGTCCAGCTAGCGGACATAAAAGTAAGTATTTAGAAAAACTTGGCAACAATTGACATCGCCAACTAACGGAAATGTGTTCAGAATAAATAAATATACACAATATATAAAAACCAGCTCCTCCCTCGACAGAGATCGATCATCTCGAAAACTAGAGCAGCTAGCTTGCTACGGCCCACCACCTATTGTTATTGTTGGCCAATCAAAATTCATCAAAGCGGCAATAGGCTACAGTAATAGAGACTGCATGTGGGGCAAAAGTTAGGAGATATCTAATCAATGGAAGATGGAATTAAAATGATGGAATTAAAAGTGAAAGGAGATACTAGGCTACAACGACCAAGAGCCAACATGTAGGCTGCTACTTAATATTCTGAATGGAGTTGTTGTTGTTTGTAACTGTAGAATGAGAAAGCGCATGCACTGCAGCCTCAATTAGCCTAGCTAGCTAACGTTAGCTAGCTTAACTATCTTCTCCCGGTTTGATGCAGTCAAGACCAGTACTACATAATCATATTTGATGATAAATAACCTAGCTATGGCAGCTATTAGTCTACTATAGCGTGAGTCGGCTTGGTTGGTTGCTGTCTCTCATATCTCCCTCCCTGCTCCCTGCTCCCTGTGTCACAGTACAGCCCCTCCCCTGCCTGCTAGAGCGCCACCTCTCTCTCCCGCCTCTCGCGCTTTCTTCTTCTTCTTGGGTGGGGTTTATTGGTGGCTGGCATCCAACGTTATGGTACATTACTGCCACCTACTGTACTGGAGTGTAGGCCAGAGACAAGGAGAAACTAAATCTTACCTGCAGCCCCGTTTCTCTTACAAAAAGATAACAACGTATTTGAGACTGTATGTAATGACATTGTACTCAATATACTCAAACAAATGTCCTGTATCCCTTTCTCCCTCATACTAGATCTCAGCCTCTCTCTTTCCGTCTCATACTGCCCACACTGTATCAATACATGCTCCACTGTCTCTGTTTCCTGGCAATAATCACACTTTCCTTTTGGATGCTTTCCTATCACATTTAAAGTCTTATTCAACCGGCTGTGTCCCATCCTTAATCTTGTAACAATAGCCTCCTCTCTACTCCTCTCGCGCTTTATGAGCTCAGGTTAATAATGTAGCTTAATGATATGCTACTTCCCTCACTCGGATCAGACTGGGTCTGGACCTGACCAGGTTTATACGGAACGGGTCTAGTTGTCCTCAAGTCTGTTCGGAACGTGTCTCTATATTAATTAATTTATGCATATTGGGTCCGGGTGAGAAATCCCCAGGTCCATTTCGGAATGGGCCAACTTTTTGGACCCGTGAAGAGTAATTCACTACTGTATTGTCACATCACATACCAGTTATGTATATTGGTGTAATACCTCAAGGCTTGCTAACAAGACCATTGGTGTGGATGTAAACTTTTAAGGCTTTGGAAATAAATAAAATATATGAATAAGGCCAATATCGATGCTTCAGAAAAATGTCACAAGTGAGAATAAACCCCTAGACCATAAACTGCTGACTCTTTCTTTCTCTCATACCTCTCTCCTGTTCTCTCCCTCCCTGTGTGCCTTTACAGGTCTGCTGGAGGATGAGCGTCTGGCCAGTGCCCATCAGGCAGAAGCCTTCGCACGACAGGTCCACAACCTGCAAGGTACTGTCTGCAGCAGATGTATATAGTGCTGAATCTGGTGCCAATAATAAAGCACCAGAGAGCATCAGTATATATCACGAGGCCCTCCAGCATCGGTATTTAGAACGTTTGGGATGTACACATCACGACTCACACGTCACAGCAGCCACAGAGCTGAAACAATTACATGTAAGGCTGTTTGACACAAAGATTGCTAATGGGGAAAATGTTTTGATTGGTAATGAATAGACAATTCATCAATGTCCAATAACCATATGGAATTCCATTGTCCCACCTAACCTCTAATGAAAAGTTTACATTTGAGGTGCCACAGAGACAGTGTGTGTCCCAAATTGCACCCTATTATTTATATAGCGCACTACTTTTGATCAGGGCCCATAGGGGATGCCCCCACAGAAAGGCTACATAGACAGAAAGGCTGTGTTGCATAAGTGTGAGGTGATGTAATTGACTGTAAAGTGTTAAATGTGTGTGTCGTCATTTATCTTACGGGGATTTGAGTCAATTGTCTGTTGTCAATGTCTGGGGCTCACTGACAGCACATTTACAACCAGTTACATCGGCTACTCTTGCAAATCCCAACTTACTTTTCTCCCAGGCACACCCATATGCTCATGCACACTGTTATCAGATCTCCTCACTTATCACTACCTAACTCCTTTTGGCCTAGAACTAGCACACCTGATTCAATAGTCAATGGCTTGATGATTATTTGACAAGTTGAATCAGGTGAGCTAGCTCTGGAATAGATCAAATGGAACAGCTAATGGTCCCCAAGGAGAGGTTTGAGGAACACTGCTGTACGTATAACCATTTAAACTCTTGTCCCTGTATGTCTCCCTCCCCAGCCCAGCTGCGTTCAGTACAGGAGGAGATGGACTCTCTAGAGGAGGAGAAGGAGAGTGAGCTGACTGAGGCTCACGAGGAGCTACGCCTCGCCCAGGAGGAGGTGCTGCTTTACCTTATGCTATTTTACTTTACTTAAGCTACTTTACTTTAGGCTATTCAACTTTACTTTAGGCTATTCTACTTTACTTTAGGCTATTCTACTTTACTTTAGGCTATTCAACTTGACTTTTGGCTATTCAACTTTACTTGAGGCTATTCTACTTTACTTTAGGCTATTCAACTTTACTTTATGCTATTCTACTTTACTTTAGGCTATTCTATTTTACTTTAGGCTATTCTACTTTACTTTAGGCTATTCTACTTTACTTTAGGATATTCTACTTTACTTTAGGCTATTCTACTTTACTTTAGGCTATTCAACTTTACTTTTGGCTATTCTACTTTACTTTAGGCTATTCTACTTTACTTTAGGCTATTTTACTTTAATTTAAGCTATTTTACTTTAAGTTACTTTACTTTACTTAAGCTACTTTACTTTAGGCTATTCAACTTTACTTTAGGCTATTTTACTTTACTTGAGGATACTTTATTTTAAGCTATTTTACTTTAAGTTACTTTACTTTACTTTACACTACTTTACTTTAGGGGTATTCTACTTTAGGTTATTCTACTTTTTGTTAGGCTATTTTACTTTACTTTAGGCTATTCAACTTTACTTTACTAGTTCCAGAAGTATGGTATGTGTTCTCTGCAAGTGATGGTGAGTTTGTGACTGTTCTGTTCCTTGTGTTACAGGTGGTGCTGCTGAGCTTGATTGATTTATTGATTGATTATTTGCAGGTTCTGCTTCTGCAGCAGGCGGCTGAGGAGGCAGCGGCCGAGAGGGAGAACGACATTGCGTCCCTGCAGGAGGAGCTGTGTCGCCTCCGGGCCCAGCTGGGGAGGCTCAACGGTGAAGCGCAGGAATACGAGCTGGAGATCACCACTCTGAGAGCAGAGATCAGCATGAAGAGTCAAAGAAGGGAGGAAGAGAGGAAAGGAGGTGAGAGAGAGGGGAGGAGGTGAGGAGAGGAGTGGGAGGAGAGGAGAAGCAATATGAGCTGGAGATCACCACGCTGCGAGTCGAGATCTGGGATGGTCTTCACAGTAAATTTGCTGATCTTATTATGCCTGACCCCTGACCTTGTCCACCGGCCAGGTCAAAGCAGCATCAGCCAAGGGCTTTTCTAGACCCTTCCTCCCTTCCCTGAGTCACACCCTAACCCTCACCACCAGAGCAGAGCAGTGATGTCATGTATTGGGAGTGTGTCCCTGACATGTCATGGTGCCTCCCCCCTACCTCCCCCATGCCTTGCCCTGACTAACTCAGAGGGTGACATCACTGTCACCCTTGGTATCCCAAACACACACCCCTATCACCCCACCACCACCCCTGCAGTTCCCTGGGTGAGAGTGAGCGGTGCAGTGTAAAACACGTTTGTAATGTTTCAGCCTTTCCCCGACCCCTTTTATTAAACCCAAACACTGATTTATGTCTTTGACTGTGAGATTCTAACCATGATGCAGCTAGCAATAACACAGACAGTACCTCATGCACAGGTTTCATCATGTTATCAGTATAGATGCCTAGACAGAGCACTCTAGGAGTGGGAGAGTCAGTAGGGTTTGGGTCACAGTTTTATGGGTGTCAAATTCCAGTCTGACGTTAGGTTTACAGACAGTAGGTCTTTCTCTTTCTGTGTCTGTCATTGATGTCTATTTACAGTGGGCAGAGTACAGACATGTACAATAGGCTTAATGGTTTTGATGGGTAGGGCACAAAAGTAAAGACTCAGAGTTGATACTTTAGTTAAACCTGCCATGTGCATAGTGAGGAGTGGTACATCTATCACACCCCCACGTTTACCTGTGGTCACACAAACAGAACTTGTGGAGGATGTGTTGCTGTGTAGCTCTTGGGTTGTGTTCATTAGGGGACACAGTAGGAAAATGTTTCAAAATGAGCAACGGAAAACAAGTGTTTCTTATTGGACAAGTTCAGAGAGTACCTCCCTAGATCACTCCGTTTCAGACCGTTTTCTTACGTTTCGTGCCGACTGAACAGGACCCTGATGTGTGACGATCCTGTTGTGTTCTGTCAGGTGACGTAGGTACATTGAGGCAGGAGTGTGTCACGTTGAGGGAGGAGTGTGAGACTCTGAAGGACGACAACAGACGCCTGACTGAGAGACTACAGCTCCTCCAGCTACAGAGGACAGGGTGAGAAGACACAATTATTTGGCTACTTAGTCTGCTTACATAATCTGCTAACCATTTCAACTGAACAAAAATATAAACGCAACATGCAACAATTTTTTACTGAGTTACAGTTCATATAAGGCAATCAGTCAATTGAAATAAATAAATTAGTCCCTAATCTATGGATTTCACATGACTGGGAATACAGATATTCATCTGTTGGTCACAGATACCTTAAAGAAAAGGTAGGGGCGTCGATCAGAAAAACAGTCAGTATCTGGTGTGACCACCATTTGCCTCATGCAGGGAAACCCATCCTTCGCATAGAGTTGATCAGGCTTCCAGGAATTGTGTACAGATCCTTGCGACATGGGGCTGTGCATTATCATGCTGAAACATGAGGTGATGGCGGCGGATGAATGGCACGACAATGGGCCTCAGGATCTCGTCATCGTATCTCTGTGCATTCAAATTGCCATCGATAAAATGCAATTGTGTTCTTTGTCCGTAGCTTATGCCTGCCCATACCATAACCCCACCGCCCCCATGGGGCACTCTGTTCACAACGTTGACATCAGCAAACTGCTCGCCCACACAACACCATACACGCTGTCTGCCATCTGCCCGGTACAGTTGAAACCTGGATTAATCCGTGAAGAGCACATTATCTTGGCAAATGAGAAATGCTCACTAACAGGGACGTAAACAAATGTGTGCGTAATGAAAATGTCTCGGATCTTTTATTTCAGCTCATGAAACATGGGACCAACACATTACATATTGCGTTTATATTTTTGTTCAGTGTAGTAAAAAGCATACGATTTCATTGTCGACCATATCAATTCTTCTTCTTCTTCTTCTTTTCACCTAATCCACTTTGTGATTTTCCTCTCTCCTCTTGCTCCACACCAGCTCCAACAGCGTATACCTGTCCCTGAAGGAGGGTGAGATAGCTGGTACGGGAGTGGGGGTGGGCACAGAGGAGGGGGGCATGGCAGAGAGCTATATGACCATGGCTGAGTGCCAGTCTACGAGCCCGGGCACCAACTGCCGCCTGGTGGACGCCTCCATCCAGAAGAACATCTCGTTCGATGGGAAACCCATGACCCCCACCGGCTGGAATGGAGGATTTGGGGAGATCTTCTCACTGAGGGACCAGCTGAAACAGGCTGAGGAGAAGGCCTTGCTGGTAGAGAGACAGGTATGTTATGGTAATGGAACGGTACGGTACAGTACAGTCTGATAGATGGATCTGGAAAGGAAGATTCAGGGAGATCTTCTTTCTGAGGGACCAGGTGATAAAAGGCAGGGGAAGACCTCGCTGGTACAGAGACAGGTATGTTAGTCACCAGACTGTGCCATAGTCACTGTAGTAGTGGATGCCCACTGACTATTAGAGCAGTTTTAATCAGACAGATTCAGAAGAAAACGATAAAGCCACGCTTAGCACAGTAGCAAAGAAAAACAACAGAGCAGCAGCTGCACAACCACTGACTACCCTGACTACCCTGTAAGTAGCTAATGTTCTTTATTAGGTGCTGCAGCAATGGACAACGACAAAATGTACAGACCTGGCCTGTAATATGTCAGGATGAACCTCTGTTCTGAAGTGTTCAACAAGTGTTCTTTCTAGGGAGTGTTTACTTGCCACTGTGCTTCTGCTTGCTATTTGAGGTCTAAGCCGGGTTACTGTAAAGATCTTTGTGACAGCTGTGGATGTAAAAAGGGCTTTGTTAATAAATGTGATTGATTGATCCTTTATGTTCTACTCTGTCTCCCTCAGTGTGATGGGTTGAAGATGGAGCTGCGGGAGCTGCAGGTACTGTATGACTGCAGCCAGAGGGAGAGGGCGGAGCTGGAGGAGGAGCTACTGCACTGCAAGGCAGAGCTTGAGAGGTTGGCTGGAGGGGGGCAGGTGAGAGGTCACACTGGGGTTAGAGGTCAGGGGTCACGATAATGATAGGAGTTAATAATGGTATATTGCATATCTATCAGAAGGCTTTTTGGGGCGTATGGGATCTATTCTAACTATTTCTGACTGTTTTCTGACTTCAACGTTTCTCTGCTTGAGATTTTTGACTGTTGTGTTTTAAACTTTCAAGTTTACGCAAATGAAAACAAGAAATACAGCACACACATCACACCTATTCTGTGTCTGTTTATTCCACGTGTTATGTGTGTAGATACTGTTGAAATATTTTTATTTGAACCTTTATTTAAGCAGGGAAATCCCATTGAGACCAAGGCCTCTTTTACAATCAATACAAATGTACAACATTTACAAATACAACATACAAAATACAAATTACTCCATCATCAACTTACAAAACACAATCATGCAAAACAAACACATTCTTCAGTAAAAAGGTAAACAATTAGCTGTCTGAATTGCCCTAGCGGCACCAAAGCATTACATTTTAAAGAGTTCTGGAGATTATTCCACAAGTAAGGTGGACATTTTTTAAAAGGAGATTTACCTAATTTAGTGGAGATTGAAGGGATTTCCAGAGTTAACCATCCCTGAGACCGGGTCTGATAGCTCGTACGTCTGTAGGTTAAGGGAGTATTTTGCTTTTTTACAACCAAATCTACATTTTTTATGTAAATGTAATGTTATAGAAGGGTCCAGACACTTGTTTTGTGATTTCACTTGTTTTTGAGAAACTTATCCCCAACCAACAATTAATTTTCTCATCCTTGTTGTGCAGTATGGTGGTTCTAACAAAACATGAACAAAGGCTCCAAAAACACCAAAATAAGTCCTTTTAGAAACGGAAAAGCTCTCAGTATAGTGATGAAGGTCTTTACATGAAATCCACAACGTTATATTCCAATTTGTTGCAACTCGAGCGATACCTCACTGTCCGTTCTACAGGTAACTGCCAAAATAAAGGAAACACTAGAGTAAACTATGAATACAAAGTACATTGAAAGTAGGTGCTTCCACACAGGAAGATCCAGACACTTGTAGAATCTATGCCAAGGCGCATTGAAGCTGTTCTGGCAACTCGTGGTGGCCCAACGTCCGTTTAAGACACGTTATGTTTACTTTATTTTGACAGTTACCTGCAGCAGCAGGCTAATAGGAGAATGGAACAGCTGGATAGGGGAAACGGCTCGAGTTGCACAAAATGTAATAAACCGTTGTGGATAAAGACAATTGAATGTGTACAAAAAGACCTGCATCACGATACTTAGAGCGTTTCTGTTTCTAAAAGGACGTATTTGGGTGTTTTTTTGAGCATTTGTTCATGTTTTTTCCTCATCCCACAACGAGGATGAGGAAATTAATGGCTAGTTGTGGTAAGTTTCTCAAAAACAGGTGAAATTGCAAAAAAAGTGTCTTGACCCTTCTAGAACATGCCATTTATATGGAAATATAGATTTGTTTGTAAAAAAGCACACTTTTCCTTTAACAATGAAATAAGGTACAGCAGAAGTTAGTGCAAGGGCTTTATAAACAAAGATGGTGCAATGCGTCGATCTATGAGACTTCAGAGAGGGCCAGCCTACTTTTTGATACAGAAAGCAGTGAGGTGTATTGAAACTCTCGCCCATTACAAAGCGCAGTGTGCAATGATAAACTGCCTCCAATGGCTTCAAATCAGTGGCAGCCGCATTCATCACCATAATCTATAACCGGTATGAATGTCGACTGAATGATTTGTTTTCTGCTATTTAACGAAAGGCATGCCCTATTCCTATAAAGGAAGCCCATTTTAATTCTTAACTTGTTAACTAACTCGTCAATATGGTTTTTAAAGATTGCTTTTCGTCAATCCAGATAACCAGATATTTATAAGCAGGGACACGATCAATGTGGGCACCATTCAATAAAACATCAGATAGATTTTTAAGCTTTCTGGAAAATAACATGTACTTAGTTTTACCTGCATTAAGTACCAATTTCAGTTCCACAAAGGCTTTCTGCAAAGCAGAAAATGAAGACTGTAGTTCTGAAAGAGCCTTGTCAAAATAAGGGGCAACAGAGAATACACAACAGTATCATCCAATATTGTTTATATAGATAGTAAAAAGTACAGGGCCCAAAATCGACCCTTGTGGGAGACCTTTAGTAATATCAAGGAAACCTGACTTAACACCATCAGAAGAAACACATAGTGTGCTTTCTGTCAGGTAGTTTTCAAACCAATTGCACGCTGCCTGACTCAGACCAATTTCAGACTGTCTACAAATGAATAATGAATGATCAACAGTGTCGAACGCCTTCGACAGGTTTATGAAAAGGCCAGCACAATGCTGCCTTTTGTCCATACCATTTACAATGTCATTTAACACCAAAGAAGCAGCGTATATAGCGCTTTGACCTGGCCTGAAACCAGATTGATGGAAATGTAGAATACATTTTGAAGCTAGAAAATATATAACCTGAGTGTTGATTAAAGATTCAGAAAATGTTGCTAGGCAAGACAGTTGCGATTCAGTCGGGCGATAGTTATTCATGTCGGAGGGATCACTAACTTTGTGGAGAGGGAGCACATGGGCAGCCTTCCAAACCGTAGGGATGATTGCGCAATCAGGGGAACAGAAAGCTGCAGCAAGAAAGGATCAAGCAAATCATCCCCAAATGATTTTTTAAAATATAAATCTTAAGCAAGGCATCTAGCACATCATAAGTAGTAAGTTGTTGAAATGACAACAGGGATTCACTAGAAGATTATGGATCTTCCATTGAGCCAGCTAGAGGCTGGGAGAGGGAAGAGCAGTCAACTGACTGACTGTCAGTTAAACCACCAGTTCTTTCAAATAAAAAACCTGCTGAGATAACATGCGGATGAAAGGTACTTACTAAATGTTTCTCAGTAATGATCCAGAATCTGACACAACTTGCTTAGGCAGTCAGTGCATTAACTGTTTTCCAAAATGTAGACAGATTACCAGAGTCTGAGCTAGAACTCAGAAAGTAGCTTGATTTCGCTTTCTTAAAAGTGGTTATTTCGCAGTTGCCTGAAAATCTACCAACCAGCTACTGAGTCAGTTTTTTCTAGCCTTAACCCAGGCCAGGCAGGCCTGATTTTTCATCGTAAAGAGATCTGAAAGTTCTATAGAGAACCAAGGATTTGTTCTATTTTTTTACTCTAAGGCGTTTGAAGATGAGAAAAATTCTAAAGCCAATTCTGGGTTAGGCAATTCTGGTTTTTTTTTTAAAAAAGTTTATCTTCATAATTATACGAGGATCAGTGGTTTTCTGTTTGGTATCTCTAATACATGCAATAGGACAGTGATCACTGAGATAATTTGCAAAGACACCAATGGACAAGTACTTATGTGGGCTTGTTTTCAGAATTAGGTCAATCGGAGAGGATTTTGCTTCTTTGTTTTTTTACATTAATCCATGTGGGTTCTGAAATCAGTTGAGTCAAGTCAAGACAAATATTATTTAAATGATCTGAGGCCAGGGTAAGCCCATATATGTTAAAATCCCATAAAACTACCAATTCAGATGACAGAAAAGGGCTTAAATCCTTGAAATAGAGCTACATATATACAGTGTCTTCAGAAAGTATTCATACCCCTTGACTTATTCCACATTTTGTTGTGTTACAGCCTGAATTAAAAAAAAAAATCGTACACGTAGTGAAAACATATTTTTTGAAACTTTAGCAAATGTATTTCAAATGAAATACAGAAATATCTCATTTACATAAGTATTCACACCCCTGAGTCAATACTTTGTAGAAGCACTTTTTGGCAGAAATTAAAGCTGTGAGTCTTTCTGGGTAAATCTCTAAGAGATTTCAAGCTCTATCAAATTGTTTGTTGATCATTGCTAGACAACCATTTTCAGGTCTTGCCATAGATTTCCAAGTAGATTTAAGTCAAAACTGTAACTCGGCCACTCAGGAACGTTCACTGTCTTCTTGGTAAGCAACTCCAGTGTAGATTTGGCCCTTGTGTTTTAGGTCCTGCTGAAATGTGTCACCAGTGTCTGGTGGAAAGCAGACTGAACCAGATTTTCCTCTAGGATTTTGCCTATGCTTAGCTCCATTCCTTTTCCTTTTAATCCTGAATAACTACCCAGTCCTTAACGATTGCAAGCATACCCATAACATGATGCAGCCACCACTATGCTTGAAAATATGGAGAGTGGTACTCAGCAATGTGTTGGATTGGATTTGCCCCAAACATAACACTTTGTATTTAGGACAAAAAGTGAATTGCTTTGCCACATTTTTTTGCAATATTACTTTAGTGCCTTGTGGCAAACAGGATGCATGTTTTGGAATATTTTTATTCTGTCCAGGCTTCCTTCATTTCACTCTGTCAATTAGGTTAGTATTGTGGAGTAACTACAATGTTGTTGATCCATCCTCAGTTTTCTCCTATATCGGCCATTAAACTCTGTAACTGTTTTAAAGTCACCGTTGGCCTCATGGTGAAATCCCTGAGGGGTTTCCTTCCTCTCCGGCAACTGAGTTAAGAAGGACACCTGTATCTTTGTAGTGACTGGGTGTATTTATACACCTTTGAAAGTGTAATTAATAACTTCACCATGCTCAAAGGGATATTCATTGTCTGCTTTTTGAATTTTTAACCATCTACCAATAGGTGCCCTTCTTTGTGATGCATTGGAAAATCTCCCTGGTCGTTGTGTTTGAAATTCACTGCTCAACTGAGGGACCTTACAGATAATTGTATGTGTGGGGTACAGAGATGAGGAAGTTATTCCAAAATCATGCTAAACACTATTATTGCACAAAGAGTGAGTCCATGCAACTTATTATGTGACTTGTCAAGCCAATTCTTACTCCTGAACTTATTTAGGCTTAACATAACAAAGGGGTTGAATACTTATTGACTCAAAACATTTCAGCTCTTCATTTTTAATCAATTTGTAAAAATGTTTAAAAACAAAATTCCATTTTGACATTATGGGGTATTGTGTGGGCCGTTGACAAAAAAAGTATACATTTAATCAAATTTTAAATCAGGATGTAGCACAACAAAATGTGGAAGAAGTCAAGGGGTGTGAATACTATCTGAAGGGACTTTATATTGATAAATGTGTTTATATACATAATTTACTGTATATTATTATATGCTTTGATAAAAGCTGACAATGACTGTCAGATCATATCAAAGAACATGCTTGAGGGCTATGATCTCTGTCTGTATGTGGCACTGCAAATTGCCCTCCACTTTGTCTGTGTCATGCCCTCCCTATGGCAGCACTGTCCCTTGTGTCAAACTGTCTGCCTGTCCCTACTCAGTCTCAGTCTAAAAATACTGTGCTTTGTGTTATATGTCCACATGCTTTATGTGTTTAATGTACACATGGGAAATTAATGAGGAAAGAGTTAGGAGATTTTCACCATGTGTTTCAAGATCTTGTTTTGTGTCACTATTTTCCATTTTTGATTTTTGTTTGTTTTGTCACAATAGACAATTTCAGTCACATATGCACATAAATACTCACACACACTGTACTAACATATTTCATACTTTTTTTCTTAAAATCTTTGTAAGAATCTGGTGGCTTACTTTGGCATAATAAATTCTTATGCACTGTCGATCAGTCGAATCGACGGGATCTATCTATCTACCTTTCCATCCCTACCCTATTTGTATCAGTCCACACCATAACTCCCCTACCCCTTCATAGCAAGGCCATTCATGTTTCATTTTGGATTTATTTGGGTGATTTGTGGTGTCCATATGTAAACGTTTTTGCCCTCCACTCATTTATTATTTTGTTCTCTCCATTCCCCCCTCCATCTTCATCCACCCCTCCCTCCTTTTCTTTTCCTCATCCAGTGCAACATCCATTCGTCTGAGTCCCCTGTTCTCTCCATCCCCTTCATAGGAATGATTGTAATATTGGGAGTGGTTTGGTGCTGGTTGTCCGAGCTGGCGTCCCAGAAAGCAAGGTAGGAGGAAGGATACTTCTCTGTCTGTCGGTCCTCTGCATTTTGTTATGTCCATATAGATGTTACTGTATGTAAAGTTAAGTAACTTAAAGTAAAGGGAAGTTACTTAAAGTGAAGTATCTTAAAGTAAAGTAATTTTAAGTAAATAAAGTAAGTTAAAGTAAAGTACCTTGCAGGGGAATGGAAGCATTTTACAAGCTAGGCCATGTAAAACAATCTAAACAAACCCTAAATACATGTTCTGGTTGTTTGCCATACAGAAATTGCTACTTTGAATAACTTTTAATATTTTGACTTCGGAGCCAATGCTAATTTGTGACTTGGCCCTGCCATTAAAATTGCCATGGTATCGATGCAAGCTGCAATGTCATTGACTGGGTCCAAACATTTGGACAGTTGATTTATTATTGTACAGTAAGGGGTGACAGCTTTCACATCCCAATATTAAAAGTTTCCACCCTAAAAATGAAACATGACGTGCTACATTATCATGATAATGGTGTGTAGCTATGTTTGTTAGCTAGCTACATAGCTACTGTAGCTAGCTAGCAAGCTTGACCAGAGAGAGAGCACTGCATTGTGGGTTTTGAAGTCGATTTAGCTGCAACAGATTTCCACAACGATTTTCACGTTGCTCCCAATCTTATTATAAGGACAGAAACATTTGTTTGCAAAAAATGTTGTTCTCACATATTAGAGTTATTGAACATTGTAAATAATAGGAATTAGTGGTTTGGGGTGGATTATTCCTTTAAGCAAAATTACTATGAAATGCAAGATGTATTTGCATTGAACCCTTGATGCCTATTGTGCAATATAGCTAAGCCCTGTTAAACTTCCAAGTAAACAATAGTCCCTTTTATTATCACAGTACAGTAGCTACGGTAGGCCTAGGCTATGTTGGCTAATAGCTAGTGGCGTAAAGTACTTAAATAAAAATACTTTAAAGTACTACTTAAGTAGTTTTTTGGGGTATCTGTACTTTACTTTACTATATATATTTTTGACAACTTTTACTTTTACTCCACTACATCCCTAAAACATTTTCCAATTCACGCACTTAAAGAGAAAATCCCTGGTCATCCCTATTGCATCTGATCTGGCGGATTCACTAAACACAAACGCTTTGTTTGTAAATTATGTCTGAGGGTTGGAGTGTGCCCCTGGCTATCCGTAAATTTAAAAACCAAGAAAATCGTTCCGTCTGGTTTGCTTAATATAAGGAATTTACTAAGTATATTTTAGCATTTACATTTACTTCTGATACTTAAGTATATTTAAAACCAAATACTTTTAGACTTTTACTCAAGTAGTATTTTACTGGGTGACTTTCACTTTTACTTGAGTCATTTTCTGTTAAGGTATCTTTTTCCACCACTGCATATAGCTGGCCCTTGGCTCTGAGTAGGGGCTCCATATTATGGAGAGGAGGCAGAGGCTTAATATTATTATTATTATTTCTCAACTCTCAATATTTACAGTTTAACAACGTTTTAACCAAGATGGATTTAAGATAGGAATATGAGCATCGCGGGTAGCGCTCGTCTGCTCTTTGCGGTGATTGCATAGGTATAAAGACATGGTTGTAGGCCTATGCTGCAACGTTTTTACGACATTACATTTTAGTTTTACTGGGGGAGGTCGGGTAATGTAATTATGTGCATGAGCACAAAACACCACATCCATCATTTTTGTCCCATGCGAATCTCCAAGGTCCTCTGATAATACTAGATAATACTGTATAATGACATCCCTGTGTTTTCCGAGACGTTACAGTTTGACAGGTGCTGCTCGCAGTTTGAGCAAGAAAACAAGAACTAATTTGATAAATTGATGCTTAAAACTATGTGTTGTGCATATATTTCAAATGAATGGCCTACATTTATCAACTTAAACAGTGAATACTTTTGTTAACGTTTTGTGCCAATGAATGGAAGTTCAACATTGCCAAAAGTCAGTTTAATTAAATGTGCAATAACAAAGTATTGTGCCTAGGCCTATTTAATGATACCCTGGGCCGGCGCCAGAATGCCTTTTTTTTCACGGGAACTCCTATGTGGATATACAGTATGTATAAATATTTATATTTATATATGTATATATTATGTGTTCAATAAATTGTATTCGTCGAGTGCCTTTGTTACAACTATGAAACAGAAAGCATTGGTGTTGGAACCCGGTATAAGCTTCTTCTTATAACTGTGGTCCTCTGTAGCTCAGCTGGTAGAGCACGGCGCTTGTAACGCCAAGGTAGTGGGTTCGAACCCCGGGACCACCCATACACAAAAAAAAATTATGCACGCATGACTGTAAGTCGCTTTGGATAAAAGCGTCTGCTAAATGGCATATTATTATTATTACAACATACAAATAAATACCCCAACCACCAACAAGCAAGATGCATGGTCAAATGTCGAAAACATCAGTAGCCTAAACATCATTACAAGTACCAAGTGTGCTTGATAATGGTGAAAATCATCACAAAAGCAATAACGGCATTATGAATATAAGTGTTGATATGACAGCAGTCAAAAAGTAAACTATCAGTTGGAGCATGTCCATGTCACATAGCCTAAACAACGAAAACTGTTGAGTGCGTTGCTGATTTTATTTCTTGCTTGAAATGTAGGGCCTGCTCCCCCAGTGATTACATTTTGTGGTGAAATAGCCCGTAGAATATTCACAGGCTTGTTCTATTCCAAACGGTGCCATCCTGCACAGTGCGCACAGGTTCTGGCTTTTCTTTTTAGCTTAGAACTCGGATTTTGTAGAAACGCTAACGAGTGCATCCCTTCGTCTAGGTCTTCTTGCCATTGTAAATCACGCACGCTCTCACTGTGTACTCCCAAGTAGGCCAGAGTAGACTGATAGAGTACATAACATTTTTAGATTATAATTAGAATAGATCAATACAATAGAATGGCCCGCCCTGTTCTTCATTTACAATTGGTGATTACATCATTATGCATAGTTCGCTTCCCCTAGCTCATCAACTCATCCATTCTTCCCATCATAATAATAAGCCATTTAGCAGACGCTTTTATCCAAAGCGACTTACAGTCATGTGTGCATACATTTTTACGTATGGGTGGTCCCGGGGCTCGAACCCACTAACCTGGCGTTACAAGCGCCATGCTCTACCAATTGAGCATACTTTAGCCTACTTACTTAGGCTAATCTCTTACTATACTGAACAAAAATATAAACGGAACATGCAACAATTTCAAAGATTTTGCTGAGTTACAGTTCATATAAGGAAATCAGTCAATTGAAATAAATTCATTAGGCCCTAATCTATGGATTTCACATGGATTTCACATAGGCCCACCCACTTAGGAGCCAGGCCCAGACAATCAGTGAGTTTTTCCCTATAAAAGGACTTTATTACAGACAGAAATACTCCTTTTATTTCAGCTCATGAAACATGGGACTAGCACTTTACATATTGTGTTTATATTTTTGTTAAGTGTATATGTGTGAAATTAGTTTAGGTATAGTTTAGGTTAAATTTCGAGGCAATTATGGGGTGATTTTCAACTGGGCACGGCATCTTCGACTATCGGGAGAAAGAGGGGAGCAGGCCCTACTGTTGAGAGAAGGAGGGGCAACGGGGAAAACCTTACATGACATGCCCTCTTAAAACTGTCTATAACACCAGTTCTGTTTGTGATATTAAGATTCTAACAACAACAAGGCAAGAGGGGGGCATGACTTAAAAAATTGCAGAGTAATATATTGCTTACATTCATGAGCAGTCCAAATGACTGCTTTAGCAGTTCTATTGTGGGTTTTATTGTAACGACATGTAACTGTACAAATGTGTTAGCCTGCTTTTTAATGTGGCATGAACACAACCAGTCATGATGTTTTCATCTGATTGTAAAACAAATCACGTTACCGTTGCACATTAGTCCAAAATAGCATCCGATCGACTGAAACAGCGCCCTTCTGTCTTACAATATGTAGCCCCATGTATCTGATGCGGTCTGGCAAAATAATTATGTCATGCCATACTCTTCTAGTCCAGACAGCATCAGATACACGGGCTACACATACTGAGACAGAGGGGCGCTGTTTCGCTTGCTCAGATGCTTTATCTGACAATGATGGGTATTTCTGTCGGCGCGTGTCTCAGTTAAATAAATTATCAATATTTAAATATTTTATTTGGATGGGCAAGGAGGTACGTTAGGGCGGGCCAGGCCCCCTAAGACCCGCCCATAACACCGGCCCTGCCCTGGCTGTAAATGTAGACAATAGATTGCAAAGCAGAGCATCCCCTGTTTCCCATTGAGCTAAACTCTTTGAAAATGGAAAGTTTATGTTCTCATCCATAAACGCATCTCCAGTTCAAGTGTGCTGTTCAGCAATTCACATCAGCAGGATGGGGATATTTTCATTACGAGAGACGTCTAGAATGGTCGCTAAAATAATAATAATAATAATAACACTTTCTCATTTTAAATATTATGGGGACACCTATACATTTGGCAGCCAAGCACGAGTTATTAGTAAAGCCTATTATTTTCTAGACATATCTTCAAAAACGACGTAAAATAAAAACCTCCAGGCTTCATTCTGTGTTGTTGTTTTTATCGCACTGCTTTATCTTGGCCAGGTCGCAGTTGTAAATGAGAACTTGTTCTCAACTGGCTTACCTGGTAAAAAAAAAAAAAGAGTCAATAGAAAATAAAAATAATAAAAATAAAGAATTACAGGGGGCAGTTTGGAAAAACGAATCCTGTACTGATCGTCATCTTAAATAACGCACATGCTGGGGTAATACTTACATAAAGGGGTGAAAGTAGATTTAATTTCTTACCGGTATGGGACACCCAAGTCGTGCACAAATTCACTAATCCCCTTTTAAAAAATCTGCAATTCTGGAGTAAAATATAGCAACAATAGCCTAACTGTAAATCCCAAATTCGTGAAAATCACTGGTTTAGGTTGCACATCAGAATATCTTATATTAATTATGCGTTCCTATTTGTACGTTCTGGG